AAACGTTCTCCCTTTCGCTCGCTCTCTCACAATCGCCACTGCGCGTCGGCTGCTCAAGCACTGACTGCTCACTCTCTCTGCGCTCACGCTCAAGATCGCTACTCGCAATCCTCTCCACGGTCGGTCAAGATCCTTGCACAACTCGTCTCCGCACTCTCTCCTCTCACTGTAGGTCGCTCCGCTCTTGCGCGTAATCTTGGAAACTGGAAATCGCAAAATCAAGAATGTGAGAATGAGACTGGAGCGCAGTCTTTTCTTCTTCGATTTCAAGAACGTCCAACGTTCTTACTGGTTACAACGTACGCAGCCGGCTATACGGCCTAACGGTTTGCCCTTTGCATGCGCGAATTCACGTCTCCGCACTGCGCGCATTCGCATGCGTGAATGTCGAATTCTCCCGCCGCCGCCACCTTCCGGACTCGAGTCCGCCGCAGGGTATACGTCGGCCATGTTGTCTTTTCCTAACCCGTCCTTCACCGGAGGCGTGTCGCCGCTGGTGCGTTCCTTATCCGTCGGCGCCTTGCTGGAGGCGCACATCTAGCCGGAGTGAATTATGCCGGCGCGCAGTCGTACCGCTTATTTTGTCCTTTATGCCTCGTCCATTGCTGCCGGCGCATATCCGCCAGCGCAACTCATGCCAGCGCATCCGGCCGTCAGCGCCACGTCGGAGTCGTACATCCGACCGGCGCTTTCCTTCCATGAACAGCCGCCAAAGGCGCTTCCGACTCTAAGTTGGTTTCCTCCTATGAGCGCGTGATTCCGCCGAAGGCGCATCGCCGAGGGCGTACGGGAATCCTTTCCGGCTGTGAACCCTAGCGCGAACGGCGCATGTCCGGCTACGAGTTTTCCGACGCTCATAACTTCTCCGTCCCTGATCCATCTCCGACGCTCTTGGGCTCGTTAGAACGAGCGTCCCGAGCTCTTTCTAATGCGACTTCAACCAACTGGATCTACTGTGTATTCTGATCGTTATGAAGGTTTTCTCCTTCCGTGCCAGCGGCGCATCGTCGAAGGCGCACTCATGGTCGGACGCCTTCAGAGGTCCGGGCCCTTCTCCTGACGTCTTTAGCAAAACCTCCTCCTGAGGTGTCTGCGCCGGAAGCGTAGCTTCCTTATACGCTGGAAGCGCGTGAGTAGAGCCACCTCAGAAAAGGAGCTTTTGCCGAAGGCGCCAAAGACATTGGCGTTGGTACATCCGACTACGTGATTCTTCGTGTCCTCGTGACGATCTCATCAATCCACTCTATTTAACGTACCCTTTTCTAACTACAAACACTGCTTCGGTACTAGTTTTCTAAAATTGTTTAAATTCTGCAAAAAAAACAAAAAGTGTGTTACCACACTACCTGTAGAGCCTCTGAATGTACTCGTGAGAAACTTTCCCCCTGAAATCTTGAGTGGAGGTCCTAATCGACCTCTTAGTTCTGCTTTTCCAGTTTCAGGTGTGTGTTGGGGTGAACTACGCTACACTGTGCGTACTCCGAGTGACCTCCGAGTTGAGCACTTGCAGTATTTCTGGGAGTGACAGTCGGCTGAGAATTCAAACTCTTCAATAGTCTGTTAAACGTGACACTTTGTACTCTGTGTGTTGCCTCTGTCCCTGTGGGTTCGACCTTCTTCTGCTATACTGCAGTTTTAGCCTTTGATGGGTTGTTACAAAAAGCATCTATTCAACAAAAAGCCCATTGGTGGGTTTCTAAAAAGATCACCTATGGCGACATCAACATGGCAAAAATCAGCACTGATGACAACCAGGCAGTGTGGGACGCTAAGATTGCTTCCCACGCAAAATTAACTAGATTTTGCCATTTTAATTAGTTTACTCTACTTCTTTGATAGGGATAGTTGGTTGAAATAGTGGGGTGTAAAATTAATTAGAAAACTATGTCGGAGTAGATGTGATAAAATCGTAATCAGTCTAAGTGAAAAATTAGCTAGATACGGAACTGGTATCTAGTTTTGCCAAATTATTTCTAAACCAAAAGAATTTGTCTAGTTGAATACATCCAAACCTTCTAAGTATAGATCCAGGACTTCTCTAATACTTAGATAGGCTCTGTTAGGCTAGATTATGTACGCCAGGCTCCTCGCAGCAGAAAGCGGTGACCAAGTAGAAGTCAAATCCGAAATTCTTGAAAAGTAGAATATGGAGATTTTTGGTGGCAGCTAGGATTTTCGAAATGATCACAGCCATCGCAGTTTGATTTGGAAATTTTAGTTTTTAAATGCTCTTAGGTATCATGTATTGGATATTTTCTTTCGTTTGCTTATGAGACTTGCATCTTTTTTGCAGCACTTGCTTTTTATGTGTGTAACCTTAGGCCTGGGTTCTTGCTAGTTTTGTGAGTGCTATAGGGCCAAATTTGTAAATTTGTGATAGTAAGTCCCGGGATCCGTTTCCAGTGGAAGATTTGTGATAAATGAATTCTAGTATGTAGTGGAAGGATCTCCTCATCGTCTTGTTTACATGTATAATGTGTGTGTGAGATATATAGTCGCAGTTAGGATTGGGTAGCATCACGTGGAGTGCTCAGGGTAAAAGAAGTTTGGATATATGCCAGTCCGATCTTTTGATGAGGTTCCACAGTAGCCGAGCAAGGTACTTCAAGACATGGCACGGGGCTTCCACTTTCCTATACTGTAATATTTTCATTCTCAGTCCAGATCTGGATGTCATTGTAGTTGTTGGTTGGGGTTTGTGGGGGTCTGTTGCGTAAACTATTGGTCATGATGTAACAGCCCGGAACATACCTTGTAACGGCACATCTTGTTTTAGTTTTTCTTTGTAATTTTCATAATGGTTCTTCTGTCACTTCAATTGCTGGAAGGTTAGGAAATTCCTACTAGTATACATCCTACCAGAAGATTAACGGCGCACTTTGATATAGGGATAAACTTTTATTTTGTCACTTGTTACATTTGTGGATCCTTGGTGTAGAAAAAGCTAACAAGATCCTACTTCAACATCTACATCCAATTTTTGGAGTATCATTTGTGAGATTTTAATCTCTGATCATGGGTCGTAATTTGGAATTTATTGTCGATAAACACCACGTCTTGAATCTCATGCTTCTCCTTCTACTTCATAGAATCTCCGGAACAAACATTTGAGTCTCTATAAGTGAGGTTTTTGCCGAAAAACTTGCTAATTGAATGCTTCGAACAATATCGTGTTCCGACTGGCAAACTGTGACACGAAAGTGGTAACTTTGGGTAAGTTTTGGTTATGCTTGAAGCTTCTAGTAGTTGATGCAAAGTGAATGAGCAAAATCGAACAATGAATCAGTGAAATATAAGGACCAATTTTGACTACAGGTGATCAAGATGGAAACTAAAGACTGAGATGGAGATTGGGAGCTATCAACTCCAGTTACATGTCGCCTTTCTTTAGAGATTTTTGTACCTTAAGATGTGTCAATATACTATGGACCGTATGAGGGTTTGACGACTTTGATTCCTTCTAATATTTTTCCGTTATAAGTCAGGATGACTTAAAAGCTAGCCAGCGGATAAGTAGGGGACTTGAAGAAAAGCTAAGTGTGAGAAACACATTGCAAGAGAGAGTCATCTGTGAGGAAAGGTTTATATTGTTGGGTAAACAAGATTGAAATTATGTAAAGATGGTGAGAAAAGAAAAGTACTCCTACATTTGATATTGGTTACATACTCTACCTTCATTGAGTAGTTTGCGGGAACTAGTCTTTCATAAACAAATTCTTGTGTTCGTTTGTGTGTGTTATATGTGATTTCTGTTTGGGATGAAAATTCCTTCACGCCCCCGTTCTTGATTATTGTGCTTCCATCAATTGTTGAGCAACTTCACTGTGCTTAGGCCAAGCAGTTCTGGAGCAGTTTTGTTCGGTTTGTTTAATTTTGTTCACAGACAATCACGTGATAGGATCAATACATCTCACCCTGTAGTGTACCTTGTCGGGAGAGCTTAGAGCATGAGATCTACACGTGATAAATAAACAACCTTTGCCGATGTACTGTCTAACGTGATGCTAGGATGTGGCCCACGACTTGATTATTGCGATCTACTATTTACTGGAAGTATCATGAGCGTTCGGTATACATGCGAACACTGTGATTCCAGTTGTAGATATATCCAAAATTGCACCAGTAGAGCATAGACACGGCGTTACACCACAAGGTCCAAAAAGTTGAAGGATAGGGGTGGAACGCTGAGGAGTTGAAGATAGAGAGAGGATACGAAGAGCGATAATACTACGAAATTTGGAAGAGAATCATCGTACATGCTTATGATTGAAAGTTAAATCGTGGAGTAGTGGTATGGTACTGTATACATTGACGAGAATCTACGTTTGAAATGTCGAATTGCAAAACTGCAGGGGACATCTCATCCGACGAATTCACAGGAAAGGGTAGTCACTGAAGGGATTGGAGTAGCCGATTGTCCAATTTGTTGGAACAATTACTTCACTAGGTTTGAGGAATTTAACTAAGCTCACATTGAAAAAACAACTCATCACATGAGGCTTTCCTTCACATCGAAGATCTTGGCTTGTGGAAATACATGCAGGTGAGAAAAATATACTTTTTTCAAATGTCGAGAGAACTGGTCTAGAAGTGGGTATGAAAAGAATCACATTTAAGACATGATTCTTCTGAATTGCACTTACGTGCCATTAATAAGCTTCTGGACACAGTATACTTAATTGTAAAGTCTTATAAGCCCAGCCTTAGAAGAAGCTTCTAAAACTGGGGAAATTTGTAGATAAACCAAAGGCCAATTTAAAACAAATTATTTAAATCTTGCAGACAATCCTAGAATTCTCAAAATTAGACTTGAATGACTAGTAGCAAATAAATCTTAACTGGAATAGAGAAACCTGGAAGATTGCAACGTTTATTAATCGTGAGGCCTCTGAAGTTTACTTAACAGGTACAAACAGTCTCCCATGGAATCTCATGCACCACCCTCAGATTCCCACGTGTCCGAGTGGGTATAAGTAGCAATGAAAGTGAGCATTGGATTCAAACAAGCCAGTTCTCTCTCACCCATTCCTTGACGATGGCAAGCTCATCAGCTTCTGGTGAAGACCACAGCCTCCATCTGGTTCACCTCCACAGCTTTTATGTAGAGCGACAACAAGACTCTAGACTGACAGAAATGAGTTTAGAGTGTTGACACTAGAGGATTTAGCATCTGTTTGACTTAATTGACTCTACCAAATTGTTGGCGGTCTTTTTTGATAGAAGATTTCAGATCTCTTGCCTGATCACACACACTTGAATTTGGCTGCTCCAATGTTGTCTGATTCTCGTTATTCGTGAATCTTGTCTTGCAGCTGCACATCTGAAAAGGGCGTTCTCGATGAAGGCCGTAATCATGTTGCTCCTCACGACCTTGGCATTCCGCCATTCTCAGGCTTCATCCAAGGGAGCCACCAAGCTGGACGTCACGTTGAAGGACGCCGAGGACACCTACAGCTTCCCGCTGGCATCCGCTGAATCTGATGCTGCTCTCACGGCTACGACAGAGAAGATCGTCGAGGGACTGAGGACTGTCACAGATATGTCGGATCAGCTCAGAGTAGCGACCCAGAAGATCAACATCTTCAACGCTCCTCAGCAGGGAGCAGTGATCGCCAACGGATTTGCAGTCATCATTCAGAAGGTGTCTGAGGGAATCGTCAGGGTGGACCGAGTCACGTCAGGTCCCCTTCCAGACGCTGATGCACAGCTCGTCGTGGACGCCCTGACGACATTCGTGCAGGTCCACCAGGCCTTGCTGAATGTGGTGATCGGCAAGCACGGCATTCTCACGATGATTCCGTTCTTCGAGCCTATCAGAATGGCACTTGTGAGTCTGGAGGCTGTCATCGATAGGTTGGCGTTCGACCTGATTGCTCTAATTCCTACTCAAAAATCCTCCGCAACAATTCAGTTCCAGAAGCTGGACGTCACGTTGAAGGACGCCGAGGACACCTACAGCTTCCCGCTGGCATCCGCTGAATCTGATGCTGCTCTCACGGCCACCACAGAGAAGATCGTCGAGGGACTGAGGACTGTCACAGATATGTCGGATCAGCTCAGAGTAGCGACCCAGAAGATCAACATCTTCAACGCTCCTCAGCAGGGAGCAGTGATCGCCAACGGATTTGCAGTCATCATTCAGAAGGTGTCTGAGGGAATCGTCAGGGTGGACCGAGTCACGTCAGGTCCCCTTCCAGACGCTGATGCACAGCTCGTCGTGGACGCCCTGACGACATTCGTGCAGGTCCACCAGGCCTTGCTGAATGTGGTGATCGGCAAGCACGGCATTCTCACGATGATTCCGTTCTTCGAGCCTATCAGAATGGCACTTGTGAGTCTGGAGGCTGTCATCGATAGGTTGGCGTTCGACCTGATTGCTCTAATTCCTACTCAAAAATCCTCCGCAACAATTCAGTTCCAGAAGCTGGACGTCACGTTGAAGGACGCCGAGGACACCTACAGCTTCCCGCTGGCATCCGCTGAATCTGATGCTGCTCTCACGGCCACCACAGAGAAGATCGTCGAGGGACTGAGGACTGTCACAGATATGTCGGATCAGCTCAGAGTAGCGACCCAGAAGATCAACATCTTCAACGCTCCTCAGCAGGGAGCAGTGATCGCCAACGGATTTGCAGTCATCATTCAGAAGGTGTCTGAGGGAATCGTCAGGGTGGACCGAGTCACGTCAGGTCCCCTTCCAGACGCTGATGCACAGCTCGTCGTGGACGCCCTGACGACATTCGTGCAGGTCCACCAGGCCTTGCTGAATGTGGTGATCGGCAAGCACGGCATTCTCACGATGATTCCGTTCTTCGAGCCTATCAGAATGGCACTTGTGAGTCTGGAGGCTGTCATCGATAGGTTGGCGTTCGACCTGATTGCTCTAATTCCTACTCAAAAATCCTCCGCAACAATTCAGTTCCAGAAGCTGGACGTCACGTTGAAGGACGCCGAGGACACCTACAGCTTCCCGCTGGCATCCGCTGAATCTGATGCTGCTCTCACGGCCACCACAGAGAAGATCGTCGAGGGACTGAGGACTGTCACAGATATGTCGGATCAGCTCAGAGTAGCGACCCAGAAGATCAACATCTTCAACGCTCCTCAGCAGGGAGCAGTGATCGCCAACGGATTTGCAGTCATCATTCAGAAGGTGTCTGAGGGAATCGTCAGGGTGGACCGAGTCACGTCAGGTCCCCTTCCAGACGCTGATGCACAGCTCGTCGTGGACGCCCTGACGACATTCGTGCAGGTCCACCAGGCCTTGCTGAATGTGGTGATCGGCAAGCACGGCATTCTCACGATGATTCCGTTCTTCGAGCCTATCAGAATGGCACTTGTGAGTCTGGAGGCTGTCATCGATAGGTTGGCGTTCGACCTGAATGCTCTAATTCCTACTCAAAAATCCTCCGCAACAATTCAGTTCCAGAAGCTGGACGTCACGTTGAAGGACGCCGAGGACACCTACAGCTTCCCGCTGGCATCCGCTGAATCTGATGCTGCTCTCACGGCCACCACAGAGAAGATCGTCGAGGGACTGAAGACTGTCACAGATATGTCGGATCAGCTCAGAGTTGCGACCCAGAAGATCAACATCTTCAACGCTCCTCAGCAGGGAGCAGTGATCGCCAACGGATTTGCAGTCATCATTCAGAAGGTGTCTGAGGGAATCGTCAGGGTGGACCGAGTCACGTCAGGTCCCCTTCCAGACGCTGATGCACAGCTCGTCGTGGACGCCCTGACGACATTCGTGCAGGTCCACCAGGCCTTGCTGAATGTGGTGATCGGCAAGCACGGCATTCTCACGATGATTCCGTTCTTCGAGCCTATCAGAATGGCACTTGTGAGTCTGGAGGCTGTCATCGATAGGTTGGCGTTCGACCTGATTGCTCTAATTCCTACTCAAAAATCCTCCGCAACAATTCAGTTCCAGAAGCTGGACGTCACGTTGAAGGACGCCGAGGACACCTACAGCTTCCCGCTGGCATCCGCTGAATCTGATGCTGCTCTCACGGCCACCACAGAGAAGATCGTCGAGGGACTGAGGACTGTCACAGATATGTCGGATCAGCTCAGAGTAGCGACCCAGAAGATCAACATCTTCAACGCTCCTCAGCAGGGAGCAGTGATCGCCAACGGATTTGCAGTCATCATTCAGAAGGTGTCTGAGGGAATCGTCAGGGTGGACCGAGTCACGTCAGGTCCCCTTCCAGACGCTGATGCACAGCTCGTCGTGGACGCCCTGACGACATTCGTGCAGGTCCACCAGGCCTTGCTGAATGTGGTGATCGGCAAGCACGGCATTCTCACGATGATTCCGTTCTTCGAGCCTATCAGAATGGCACTTGTGAGTCTGGAGGCTGTCATCGATAGGTTGGCGTTCGACCTGATTGCTCTAATTCCTACTCAAAAATCCTCCGCAACAATTCAGTTCCAGAAGCTGGACGTCACGTTGAAGGACGCCGAGGACACCTACAGCTTCCCGCTGGCATCCGCTGAATCTGATGCTGCTCTCACGGCCACCACAGAGAAGATCGTCGAGGGACTGAGGACTGTCACAGATATGTCGGATCAGCTCAGAGTAGCGACCCAGAAGATCAACATCTTCAACGCTCCTCAGCAGGGAGCAGTGATCGCCAACGGATTTGCAGTCATCATTCAGAAGGTGTCTGAGGGAATCGTCAGGGTGGACCGAGTCACGTCAGGTCCCCTTCCAGACGCTGATGCACAGCTCGTCGTGGACGCCCTGACGACATTCGTGCAGGTCCACCAGGCCTTGCTGAATGTGGTGATCGGCAAGCACGGCATTCTCACGATGATTCCGTTCTTCGAGCCTATCAGAATGGCACTTGTGAGTCTGGAGGCTGTCATCGATAGGTTGGCGTTCGACCTGAATGCTCTAATTCCTACTCAAAAATCCTCCGCAACAATTCAGTTCCAGAAGCTGGACGTCACGTTGAAGGACGCCGAGGACACCTACAGCTTCCCGCTGGCATCCGCTGAATCTGATGCTGCTCTCACGGCCACCACAGAGAAGATCGTCGAGGGACTGAAGACTGTCACAGATATGTCGGATCAGCTCAGAGTTGCGACCCAGAAGATCAACATCTTCAACGCTCCTCAGCAGGGAGCAGTGATCGCCAACGGATTTGCAGTCATCATTCAGAAGGTGTCTGAGGGAATCGTCAGGGTGGACCGAGTCACGTCAGGTCCCCTTCCAGACGCTGATGCACAGCTCGTCGTGGACGCCCTGACGACATTCGTGCAGGTCCACCAGGCCTTGCTGAATGTGGTGATCGGCAAGCACGGCATTCTCACGATGATTCCGTTCTTCGAGCCTATCAGAATGGCACTTGTGAGTCTGGAGGCTGTCATCGATAGGTTGGCGTTCGACCTGATTGCTCTAATTCCTACTCAGAAATCCTCCGCAACAATTCAGTTCCAGAAGCTGGACGTCACGTTGAAAGACGCCGAGGACACCTACAGCTTCCCGCTGGCATCCGCTGAATCTGATGCTGCTCTCACGGCCACCACAGAGAAGATCGTCGAGGGACTGAAGACTGTCACAGATATGTCGGATCAGCTCAGAGTTGCGACCCAGAAGATCAACATCTTCAATGCTCCTCAGCAAGGAGCGGTTATCGCCAGCGGATTTGCAACCATCATTCAGAAGGTCTCTGAGGGCATCGTCAGGGTGGACCGAGTCACTTCAGGTCCGCTTCCCGATGCTGATGCACAACTCGTAGTGGACGCCCTGACGACATTCGTGCAGGTCCACCAGGCCTTGCTGAATGTGGTGATCGGCAAGCATGGCATCCTAACCATGATTCCGTTCTTCGAGCCCATCAGAATGGCACTTGTGAGTCTGGAGGCTGTCATCGATAGGTTGGCGTTCGACTTGATTGCTCTAATTCCTACTCAGAAATCCTCCGCAGCAATTCAGTTCCAGAAGCTGGACGTCACGTTGAAAGACGCCGAGGACACCTACAGCTTCCCGCTGGCATCCGCTGAATCTGATGCTGCTCTCACGGCCACCACAGAGAAGATCGTCGAGGGACTGAAGACTGTCACAGACATGTCGGATCAGCTCAGAGTTGCGACCCAGAAGATCAACATCTTCAACGCTCCTCAGCAGGGAGCGGTGATCGCCAGCGGATTTGCAGTCATCATTCAGAAGGTTTCTGAGGGAATCGTGAGGGTGGACCGAGTCACTTCAGGTCCCCTTCCGGACGCTGATGCCCAGCTCGTCGTCGACGCCCTGACGACATTCGTGCAGGTCCACCAGGCCTTGCTGAATGTGGTGATTGGCAAGCACGGCATCCTCACGATGATTCCGTTCTTCGAGCCTATCAGAATGGCACTTGTGAGTCTGGAAGCTGTCATCGATAGGTTGGCGTTCGACTTGATTGCTCTAATTTCTACTCAGAAATCGTCGGCAACAATCCAGTTTCAAAAGCTGGATGTCACGTTGAAAGACGCCGAGGACACCTACAGCTTCCCTCTTGCATCAAAAACTGATGCTCAGTCAGAGAGTCTGAGAAAGGAAGTGATTCAGAACGGAAAGAAATCGTCCAAATCATACTTGGCAATATGATTCAAAGTAGTAGTAGGATCTGAATTCCGGATATACGCAGGGACATTTTGTGGGCCGGTTTTCTAAGTTTTTTGAGGATGGTTGCGCAGTATAGAGTTACAATCTATGAGTTAGTGCCTAGGGTGGGATATTGTTATCCAGGTAGCTCATGTCAGTTTCTGGAAGGGAATACAGAAATTGCAATGAACCGCAGATCGGGCTACTTGACGGCCACTCTGAGAATTGTGTAATAACCCACCAAAGGCTAAAACTGCAGTATAGTGGTAAAAAGATCGAACCCACAGGGACAGAGGCAACACACAGAGCAAAAATGTCACGTTTTAACAGACTTTTGTAGAGTTTGAATTCTAGGCGACTGTCACTCCCAGAAATACTGCAGTGCTCGACTCGGAGGCTCGACTCGGAGGAGGATCTCGACTCGGAGTATGCTCGGAGGATGCACGGTACAGCGTGGTCACTCAACACACACACACACACACACACCTGAAACTGGCAAAAAGCACAACTCGGAGATCGGTCAGGACCTCCGCTTCGGATTTCAGGAGGAAAGTGTCTCAAAAGTTCACTCAGAGGTTCTGCAGGTAGTGCCTCCCACTCCGGCTTTTACTGCCCTTCCGCCAGTAACTAGCGTAGGGTACCCGGACTGGACTTCCCACGTCGGAACGAAGCCTCTACATACGCCGTGGACGTCACCCTCGACTATCACACCAAACGCAGGGAGTGCAGACCCGACTGAGAACTTATTGAAACACGATCCAGTAACACACACACAACCTGAATTACAAACCAAGGTTTACACGAAGTAATAAAACTTCACATTGGCATTCAGGGGAAACTTCCCGTAGGAGTACAATCAGGATATGTCACTCGAAGGAGTAAGGGGGAACTGTTCAAGTCTCTAACTCGCAACCGGCTCTGAGCATCAGAAATCACCCGCAGGTGCAGATCCGCACTACTCAAGTCTCTAACCGGGTACTAGCTCTGAACATTCGGCCGAAGGCCTTCAACTACAACATACGGTAACTTCGCTATGCTGCAGCTTCTCTACGTGGTGCCAGGACCAAAATGCACAAACACGCCAAGAAAGTGAGTTCCTGATTTGCACTTCCGCAACTGGAAGAGTCAAAAGGCAAAACGCCTTGAACTACTTTATACCTTCTAAGGTCCTAACTAACACTACACTACCCGCTAGGGTGCGAGCCGCAACAGATCCTACACCTGAGGAGTCGGCGGCTACCTTCCCCTCTAACTTACAACCTAAATCTAACCCTAACCCTAAATCTGAATCCTAAGCCTACTGTACAGAGCCGCCAGCGTCTTTACATCCGAGATCTGAGGCTGAATATTTGCAGGCATGCGTGGCCAACCGAGATCAACGGTCCCACCAAATTTCAGATCCATCCGACCGTCCATCGCAAAGATATGGACTCCGCAAGATCTCTAAACCGCATCCGGTTTGCCGACCTTGAGTTCGCCGACTCCGAGTTTGCCGACTTGAAGTTCGCCGACCTCGAGTTTTCCGACCTCAAGTTCGCCGACTCCGAGTTCTCCGAAGGCGTTGACCGCCGAAGACGCACTTACGCACCTTTGCCTATTTGTAACAGTCACTCCCGACACCCATAACTCACAGATCCTTAATCCGTTTCAAGAGTTCTTGGGCTCGTTGGAACGAGCGCGTCGAGCTCTTTCTAACGAGACCCTAACTGAGTCAAACCGTTACGAGTTGAAAGAGTTATGCCGGTTTTATCCTTCGCCGAAGGCACACTGTCGAAGGCTTGTTATCTATTATCGCCGAAGGCGCCCGCACGATGTTTCGCCGACTCCGAGTTCTCTGACCTCAAGTTTTCCGACTTGAAGTTCGCCGACCTCGAGTTCGCCGACCTCAAGTTCTCCGACCTCGAGTTCGCCGACCTCAAGTTTTCCGACCTCGAGTTCTCCGACCTCGAGTTTGCCGACTTGAAGTTGACCCGAAGACGTCCGTCGCCGAAGGCGAACATCTAGGGCCGAAGGTGGATATTCTGTTGACGACGAACTCCTTCCGCCTATCCGTAGGCGTTCTCCTTCGCATCTTCCGACAGTCACAACTCCCTGAGTCCTCATCCGTTCCAGGTTTTCTTGGGCTCGTTAGAACGAGCGCGTCGAGCTCTTTCCAACGAGACCCTAAGTAACTCAAGGCGTTAAGAATTGAGGAAGTTATGAGTGATCTACCGCCTAAGGTGCTCGAAGCGAGTCCTGCAGCGTGAACCGCCCGTTCCATTCCAAGCGTTCCACTGTGGCCTAAGCCCAAAACCCCTTGACTGTCCTCGATCCTCTTTTTACTCTGGCTTTGCGTACCGATTACTATTTACAGCTGCTACCACGGTACTTACTAATCAAAAATGTTCTAATTCCGACGAAAAACAAAAAGTGGGTTACCACAAATTGTCCTTATCTTGTAGAAGGTTTCAGCTTCACAGCGATGTATGGTTCTCCATGAATGCTTTTATGAATCACGACTCTTTGAATAGTCCATACCATTGATGTAACCATGTTCCTGCAGGATACACGATTCAGTGAAATCTTAAAGCCTGACTGAAAGAGAAGGCCCCTCTGAAGAATTGGTATGAGGATTGCAGTGGAAGTGAAGATGACGTGCTCAATTTGTTCCATCTATCCATGACTGTGATTTGTGATGAAGCCGCAGAGTATAGTAACTGTGTGTTTTAACTTTTTGTGTCCTCAAGTTTATAACAGCAGGTCTTTAATAAAATTTCGATAAGTTACTTAAAGTTTGGCTGCCCCGGGACGTGGTTAATACCACTTCTCAGTTCGAAGAGGGTGACATCCTTTCACTTTTTTCCAATGTGAAGAACCTCATCTTCAATCTCTAAGATAGCCATGATTATTGTATGATTTTCTGATCACACTACCAATAGCTTGCAGTCATGAAGAGCATTTGAGTTTAAAACCCTTGTGACAGATGATTTTCATAATGCCAAATCTAGCCGTGTATATCTACATGCATAGTTCAGATTAACGCTCTTCAGTTTTACAAGTATTTGGCTTTTCGTATCAGTACAACTCAGGAAACATCCATTCCCGAAGTTTGATAGTCCAAATTTCGAAAATTGTTAAGGTGTGAAATTGTATAATTTTTTCAAACATCTTAAATTTTATTGTTGCTAACTTGCAATGAAATTAAACTTTTTCAGTGTTCATTTGGAATGTTCTTTTAATCAATTACCACATATAAATAGTTTTGGAAATTTTTATTGAAATTTTTTTTGTTTATATTCCAAGTTGTGAATATCAAATTATTATTAAATTATTTACTCAATAGTCTATTTAAAAAGAAGTACTTGTATGACATTTGTATTTAATTCAAACTATCCACATTTTTTAAAGATGAGTAATATATATAATGAAAACAACCAGGCCTCCGACACTCTTCCCTATGAGTGGCGCCCGCTCACTACCAGCCGTATTCCGACTCTTAGCATGGGAATGATTTGTCCCTTGTATATGCAAATACCTAATGATATCAATGCTGCAAAATTTTGATAGATTGTTGATGCTATGAGAGGATGACATGGTTAGGAGGGATATCTTTTGTCTCAGAACACAACAGACATGTCTCAGAACATTGAAGATTACAACACTAATCAAATCTATTGCATCTAGGCAACAATATAATTTCAGTATTCAAATGACATTTAGATGTTAGAAAGTAAGAGATGTAGAATATTTGAGTAATTGAAGTCAGCTTACATCTATCAAATTTTTTTTACAATTGATATATTTTATATCTCATTCAAAAATTAATTTAAAGAAGAGCAATAACATACAATTGATCAATCCAATTAAACTTACTCAATCAAAAAATCTAAAAAAATTATGCATTTGAAAAAAAACACAAAAACATCTCAACACTATTGGACTTATAAAAAATCAAAGGAAAATATTATAGGGGAAAAAAATATTCTTCATCAAGATAAGAAATTAAATTTTTAAATTCAAAACACTGTTTCGGGTTTTATAAGTTTATCAAAAACAATGCAAACAAACACATTGATAATAAAATTAATAACAAAAAAAGCAGTCAAATTACAAGAATTTCAAAATTTCTGTAAATTGTAATTTGTTCGTTAGAAAATACAGAGATCATCATTGAAGTAATTTTTGTGAAATAAAAATTTGTAATAGTTTTTTAATGTTTATATTTTAACAAAAAGATGATGTCATTAAAGTATAATAGATAAGATAGATAGGTGTGGTACCCCATTTTTGGTATTTTTGAGGAAATTAAAACATTTTTGGAAAACTGTACCGCAGCAGCAGTGTAAATAGCCTTCGGTGCACCAAAACAGAGTGAAATCGGCAGATCGCAGAGATTCTCGAGAGAACTCGTAGAATCCAGGAGTAGGGTGCAACGTCGGGGACGGACATCACCCTCCCTGCGTGCTCTGAAGGTATGACCCCTTCGGCGCAAGGCGCAAAATCCGCCTTCGGCGCTGCGCCTTTGGCGCTAGAGGAATTCTTCAGAATTTGGTCAATTCCCGAACGCCTCGACTTGGTTAGGAACTTGTTGGAAAGAGCTCGATGCGCTGATTCCAACGAGCCCAAGAACGCCACAAACGGATGAGTACTCCGGGAGTTATGAGGGTCGCAAGGTATTCAGCTTCTCGCCTACGAGTAGGCGAGGAAAGTTTGTCCTATGCGCGGACGAAGGCAGTTCGCCTACGCGTAGGCGAAATAGGGTTTGACGTAGGCGCGATGTCCGCCGCGAATGTCGCCTACGCGTAGGCGAGGAAATCTCTGCACAGGCGGACGAGCGAAGTTCGCCTACGCACAGGCGCTTCGGCGTCGGCGGAAAATCCGCCTTCGGCCCTAGAAATGCGCCTTCGGGGTTAGAAATTGTACGGCGCCTTCCGCGCCAGCGCAACAGCGCGGACGGGCGAGGAACCACCGGAGTAGTAAAATCCGTACGGACCGTACGGACTGTACGGACAGAACGGATGGATGCGCCTTCGGTCGGACGGAGTTGCGGCGGCGAGAGCGCCGACGGAGAGGCAAGAAATGGACAGATTGGACGGAGCCTGTTGGCCGCGGTCAACGCCTTCCGCGCCAGCGCAGCCGCGCGAACGGAGTTTGCCTACGCGCAGGCAAGCGCCTATGCACAGGCGGATGAAGTTCCGCGCCGGCGGAGATTCCGCCGGGGATTCCGCCTACGCAAAAGGGAGTTCAACT